TATATGTATATAGAGGTAAAATCAAATGATTAGGATCTTGGCCAAACTACCTTCAAATTATCAATTGAGTATCTATCGGCCAGCAGCATTAGCTCGCATATTTGATCTGCTCCCACAGTACGATCTATAGGAGCACCATATATGTAGAGCAGTAGTCTTCGAAAGATTACCGGCGAAGTGTCCGTAATAACGACTTTTCTGTTAATAGATTCCTGCATTCCAGACATTAGCGCTTTTTTAAACCATTCACAGCGTGCAGCCACAATAACACGATGTGCCTTAAAACTATGAACTTGAAGCGGCGTATTTCTGTCTTCAATGTGCGACATCATCAATGTAGCCCAAACTTTGTCGCTTGATGTTGATGATGTATAAGTATGAACTTCAAATTCCATATCCGCCATTTGTGCCGAGTGAAGTAAGCGTAATGCATTTTTTGATAAATTACTGTGGGCTGCAATGGGCGACTCGCACAAATTTTTTATTAGGTTGAGCTGTATGATAGTAATTAGGTTTCTAAATATGAAATAAAAATAGGTTTTTACTATACCGTACCTTAAAATTTATGTACTCGTGATATTGATTCATAGGTTTCGTTCGGTTACTCCCCTGACCTAAATTATCCAAATTATTCTCGGAGTCAGCAAGCTTGAGTTCATGCAGTAATTGATTAGATGGCTCCAGAAGACCGAGCTCAATAATCGACATCAAAAATTCTTGTTTTCGGACTAACTTACATATTTGTTCAATAGCTTGTCGGAGCGCTAACTTATGATCCAATAACTTCGCAATAACGCCATTCTATAACAAAATTGTATGACATTCATGTTATCAAATTAATTCTCATCCTGTATATATACGGTACGAGAAAATCAGTGCACTCCGAGCGCACAAACATACATAATCACATTTTCATATGCTATACGCTATTTATATCCTGAGCCCATTTAAAATAGGAGGTCAAGGTATGATGGTTTTGTGAAAAGTATGTAACTGGAGAAAGCATCGCAGACCCCACAAAGTGTATATATATATTCTTGATCAGGGCGATGAGCTGAGTAGATTTAGCTCTGTTCCTCTGTCCGTCCGTCCGTCTGTCGGTATGTTTGAACGCGTCGACCTCAGAAGATATTGTAACGAACCTTCGGTTTATCCCGGGTCTAAGCTGGGCTAGTTTCAGCTGACTGTGGATTCGAGCCAACAAATGTATTTGTTGAAGCCTTTTCGATATTAATTATTCAATTGTGATTTAGTTTATAGCGTAAAGTATATTTTCTTGAATATAAGTTGTTAAATTTACACGTCACTTATTTAATGCTGGTTCATTTTAGCAAGGCACAACGGCTAAGTGCTGGTTCAACGCACTCCGGCTGGGAGTGTTGTGCTAAAACACGCTAGTTTCAGTGGAACGATTCGGAAAATGCCAGGATTTGGGTCTGTGAACTCCAGCGATTCGCTCGGCTATACAGATCTCTCCTACTATTCCACTCGCTCACAGCACAACACTAGCTTCGTTTCACTCACAAC